GTCATCACAGATCCTGAATGCCATGGTTAAAAAGTCTACACTTTATTACAAAAAGCTATTAAAAGGCTTTTAAGCAGGGAAGTGATGTTACCTGGTTTACACTTTAAGATCACTAGACTGCAATGTGGAGAATGGAGTATAGAGATGCAAGCATAGAAGGGAAATAAACTAGGAAGGCAGTGGTAATAAAGAGAGATTGTGCTTCTCTATCAATGTAGAGCAAAAAACTCAATGGATAAAGAGGGTACAGGAGAGAAAGGAATCAAGGAACAACATGGCACAGTACAAGATAACCTGAAAAATTCTCTGGTTATTAATCACACAGAAACATTGGATAAGTAAGACATCATTTCAAAGGCATAACTTGCAAGAATGAAAAGAGAATGCTTCTGATAGTCTTCCAAACTTCACACTCAACCTGAAGAAGGAGCAGGAAACCAGAGTGGTAAGCAGAGCAGTGAAGCCATGGTTGAGGGTACCTGTTTATCTCAGAAATCTCTAGGGTTTTAACAGCTGCACAGGAAACTAAACACAAGGACTTGGGCCTATACAAGAAATCAGGAGTGTGATCCTGCATAGGACTGGAAATTCAAAGTGCTATACCCTCCAAGAACACACTGGGGTGAAAAAAACCCTATACTAGCCCAGGGAGACATACAAAACATTTATTTACTTTGGTCTGCAGTGCCCGTGGAGGGAAAAAGAAAATTTTCCCTTTAGAAATGAAAAACCACAAATTTTCCCTTACCAAGGTTTTAAAGTTCAAATTTGTCAAGAAAGTGGTCCCAGGCTAGAGTGTTGGGGGGCCTGGAAGAAGCAAATACAAATCCTGACTGCACAGGTGTACCCTCAACCTAGGTCTCAAAGGATTCCACAGATAAACAGGATTTCCAGAGACAAACATGAGCACCCAAAATACAATACACCTGAGGAAATAAGCAGCAATGAGTGAGTCAACAGAAATTACAAATAACATAATGAAACCCATACAGACTTTAGCTACTGGAATTGATGGCTACAGAATATAAAATACACTTATTTAAATGATTAAAGAAAGTAAGACAGGAGCTAGGAAATATAAGCAGGAAATAAGTAGTTTTTTTTTTTTTTTTAAAAAAAAACCAACCAAATAGTTTTGAAAATGAATTAAGTGGGCTGTGCACGGTGGCTCACGTCTGTCATCTCAGCACTGTGGGATGCCAAGGCGGACAGATCACCTGAGGTCAGGAGTTCAAGACCAGCCTGGCCAATATGGTGAAACCCTATCTACTAAAAATGCAAAAATTAGCCTGGCGTGGTAGTGGGCGCCTGTAGTCCCAGCTACTTGGGAGGCTGAGGCAGGAGAATTGCTTGAACCTGGGAGATAGAGACTGCAGTGAGCTGAGATCATGCCACTGCACTCTAGCCTGGGCAACAAGAGCAAAACTTCGTCTCAAAACAAACAAAAAGAGAAAATGTATTAAGTGGAATTTCTAGAAATAAAGAATAATTGAAACCAAAGCCAATGTTTGGTTAAATTGCAGATTATACACAATTGAAGAGAAAATTAGTAACCAGAAGAGAGATCAAATTACTGAGAACATAAAAAACAGGGATCTGGGAGAAAAAAAAAAAAGAAAAGAAATTACTGAGAAAAGCCTAGAGACAGGAAAAAAGCAAGCAAACTTAAGAGACATAGGGATAAATTGCTGAGGTCTACCATACTCCTAATGAGAATTCCAGGAGAGAAAAGAGAAAAACGGAGAGAGATAGATAATGATGAAATAATGGCTGAAAAATTTCCAGAATTGATTAAAGACAAGAATTTTCAGATTCAGAAAGCAAACTGAATACCAAGCAGGATAAGTAAAAGAAATCTCAAACACATCAAAATGAAACTGCAGAGTACCAGAGATAAAGCAACCAGAGAGGAAAGCCATTCTGCACAAAGAAACAACTATTATATTCATAGCAGATTTCTTAACAGCAAAATGGGTGCCAGTCAATAATGGTATATTTTCAAAGTACCAAGAGAAAATAACCAGGCTTAGAAGTGTACAACTACCAGCTGGGCGTGATGGCTCATGCCTGTAATACCAGCACTTTGGGAGGCTGAGGGGGGTGTATCACTTGAGGTCAGGAGTTCAAGACCAGCTTGGCCAACAATGGTGAAACCCTGTCTTTGCTAAAAATATAAAAATTAGCAGGTGTAGTAGTGTGCACCTTCAGTCCCAGCTACTTGGGAGGCTGAGGCAGGAGACTCACGTGAACCTGGGAAGTGGAGGTCGCAGTGAGCAGGGATCATGCTACTGCACTCCAGCCTGGGTGACAGAGTGAGACTCTATCTCAAAAAAAAAAAAAAAAAAAAAAAAAGTGTATAACTACGTAAATTATCCCTCAGATGAGTGAGAGGGAAATAAATAGCGTGAAACATAAGCTGTCAACAGAGACATACTAAAGGAACTACTTAAAAGGTACATTTCAGGAGGAAAGTAATCTCAGAAGGAAGGTCTAAGATGCAAGAAGTCACACTGATAGCTAATAGCTACCATTATATCACTGATTAGGACAATCCTGAAGAGCATACTTAATTCATATTATTTCAATGTCTCACAGCCTACCAAACTTTACATTCAACTACCTGCTAGTAGCATAGTTTGTAGGTTTGGTGACAACACAGGTAGGTGTTGGTCACTTCACCCCAATTTATCTCCAGATCATTATCAGTCAGTATTAATTATCAAATGTATAAATTATAAGTAGCTTTAAATGAATAGACTATCTGGCTATAACAATTCTTTTTTTTTTTTTTTTTGAGACGGAGTTTTACTCATGTTACCCAGGCTGGAGTGCAATGGCATGATCTCGGCTCACCGCAACCTCCGCCTCCTGGGTTCAGGCAATTCTCCTGCCTCACCCTCCTGAGTAGCTGGGATTACAGGCACGCACCACCATGCCCAGCTAATTTTTTGTATTTTTAATAGAGACGGGGTTTCACCATGTTGACCAGGATAGTCTCGATCCCTTGACCTCGTGATCCACCCACCTCGGCCTCCCAAAGTGCTGGGATTACAGGCTTGAGCCACCGCGCCCAGCCAACAATTCTTAAGCTCAATATATTCTGAATTATTAAGCTGCAATATATCTTTCCAATTCTCAAAGCATGTAATATCCTCCAAATTATCTAGGTAAATTTTTTTTTTTTGAGACAGAGTTTCACTCTTGTTGCCCAGGCCAGAGTGCAATGGCAAGATCTTGGCTCACCACGACCTCCACCTCTCGGGTTCAAGTGATTCTACTGCCTCAGCCTCCCGAATAGCTGGGATTACAGGCATGTGCCACAGTGCCCAGCTAATTTTGTATTTTTAGAATAGATGGAGTTTCTCCATGTTGGTCAGGCAGGTCTGGAACTGCCTCAGCCTCCCAAAGTACTGGGATTATAGGTGTGAGCCACGGTGCCCAGTTTTGGTAGGCAGCTGAGATAGAGACACATACACACACACTATTCTGCTGTCCTGCTACCACCCGTAGTTGAGGTAACCAGTTTCTTTGTTCTCTGCATGCAAAAGAACCTAAAACAATAACTTAAGAAAAATAAACCATAAAAGTGGGACAAATATTGGAGCATAATGACCAAGAAAATGGTACCCATTCTCTTTCCCTTAAAAAAGACCATACACCAAATTTTAAAACTGATTTTAAAATAAGCATGTTTATTGTTTAAGTATCCAAAGACGATAACATAAAGAGGTCAAAACCAGAAATGTTCTGTTATACTAAAAGTGATGTCATCTGCAACCATTCATCCAGGCAAGAAGAGTCGTATCAAAGCTTTTTTCATTCACATTTTTATTACACTTCTGAATATTTGTATAAATGAGTAAATGGCTGAACCACATTCCAAGCCACAATCTTATTTTAAATACTGATGAAACCTGGTTGTGATGAGCAAAAATAAAAACATTCTATATACACATGCCTCACATACTTTTTTTTTTTTTTTTAAGACACAGTTTTGCTCTGTTGCCAGGCACCAGGCTAGAGTGCAGAAGCTCACTGCAACCTTTGCCTCCCGGGTTCAAGCAATTCTCCCACCTCAGCCTCCTGAGTAGCTGGGACTACAGACGTCCGCCACCACGCCCAGCTAATTTTTTTTATATTTTAGTAGAGACGGGGTTTCACTGTGTTGGCCAGGATGGTCTCGATCTCTTGACCTTGTCTTCCTCCCGTCTCGGCCTCCCAAAGTGCTGGGATTATAGGCATGAGCCACCGTGCCTGGCCCATACTCTTAAGATGTTAAACAGTACCATGTTCCCCTACCTGTCTAACCATATGCCAAAATGTTGCCTGTCAATGTTAGTGAATTTTAACATTCCGTTTCAGTGTCACATTATTAATCCCATAGTGAAAGAAAGGTTTCTAAAACATGAAATTCTTTCTTATGAGATAGCATGAAATAGGCATGAAACTCTACTGGGTTGAAATTTTAGTCATTTTAAAGGTCACTATTTCTGCTTTATGGCACTGGGTTGCCTTTTCCAATATTTAAGTCTCAAATACACCTTTAAAAAGAACTGTTATGACTAGTCAAGTCACACATGTCAAATTATACAAGATATGGTCCCATGAAAACACCAAAATGTTTCAGGAAATTGAGCAGCAATAGCATGTATAAAGGTTTATCACATCTCAATACTCTATATAAAACAAATAATGCCAACATACCCTGGTTTGATGGCTTCTCTTCTGGAACATGCTTGCTCTAAAGCTTTATTTTTTAATTAGCCTATGGCACTTACTTTATTTTCTAATTTTTTCCCAAGCATACAGTAAATTAAGAACCTTTGTTTTAAAAAATTACCTGATGATTCCAATTATTGTTCATGTCCAACTTTAATATGGCAATCTGAGTTCTCTTCTTGACACACACTGTACTAAATCTTAGTACTCAGTTTCATCAAGTACTTAGTTTCATCAAGCCGTTTGCCAATTCATACATTTAAAATAAACATTATAAAATGTAAAAGGAGAATGGAGTGCATTAAGGAATAATCAACAATTTAAGATTGGGATTATCAATAATTTTGATATTAGCATTAATAATTTCTTAGCTGTCCTACTTTAATGATTTTTGTTGAAACTCTGGCAAATGTCTTTAATATTCTCATGGCATTAATATTTAAATAAACATGATTTTCATTCCAAGTGATTTTATTCTTTTCTTTTTCCTTTGGACATAGGGTCTCACTCTGGAGTATGGTAGTGCAATCTTGGCTCTCTGGAACCTCTGCCTCCCAGATGCAAGCGATTCTCCCACATCTCCCTCCCAATTAGCTAGGACTAAAGATACCCGCCACCACGCCCAGCTAATTTTTGTGTTTTTAGTAGAGATGGGGTTTCACCAAGCTGATCTAGAACTCTAGTCCTCAGGTGATCCACCCACCTCGGCCTCCCAAAGTGCTGGGATTAAAGGTGTGAGCCACTGTGCCTGGCCTATTTTATTCTTATTTGTATGGTTTTCACAATTTGTAGCTTACATGGAAAGTATTCACAAAATGAGAATAATTTGTCTCTACTACATAAAGAAATAATTTTTCTATCCCAAATGAAGATAAAGTCACTTCTCACAAAATAAACATCAATTTAGCAGAATTAAGTTTCCTCTTAACGGCATTTGATGCTTGAGGATTACCAAGGATCTATGCAATAGAGCACTAAATTTTGGAATTAGCTGAGAATGATCCCAGATTTCCTCTAGTAAACATAATTTTGGCCACAAATGAAGACAAATGATAAAAGTTATTAGCTCAATTCTAGAAGAACACCTCTTATCAGAATTTAATAGATCTTATTTAGGTTTCTAGGAAGGATTTAACTACATAAAACTTATAGGGAAAAATGGCCATATTTGAAAACTGTTACAAGGATCAAAGTGGAGCACAGGATTGTAATGAGCAGAGTCACAGAACATACTAAAGTGGTATGTATAGTCAGTCCCACTGGAACCTGCAGAGTCACATTCTTATATACCTATGGAGAGAGAGAGAAAAAAAATAGATATTTAAAATGCATGTCATGGGCCAGGCATGGTGGCTCACGCCTGTAATCCCAGCACTTTGGGAGGCCAAGGCAGACAGATCACTTGAGGTCAGGAGTTTGAAACCAGCCTGGCCAACCATGTGAAACCCTGTCTCTACTAAAAATACAGAACTTGGCCAGGTGTGATGGCAGGTGCCTGTAATGCCAGCTACTTGGGAGGCTGAGGCAGAAGAATCACTTGAACCTGGGAGGTGGAGGTTTGCAGTGAGCTGAGATTGTGCTACTGCACTCCAACCTGGGTGACAGAGCAAGACTCTGTCTCAATCAATCAATCAATCAATAAAATGCAAGTCATAAGGTGAGACCAATATTTCTTTGATTTTTTTTTTTTTTTTTTGAGATGGAGTTTCGCTCTTGTTACCCAGGCTGGAGTGCAATATCTTGGCTCACCACAACCTCCGCCTCCTGGGTTCAGGCAATTCTCCTGCCTCAGCCTCCTGCGTAGCTGGGATTACAGGCACGCGCCACCATGCCCAGCTAATTTTTTGTGTTTTTAGTAGAGACGGGGTTTCACCATGTTGACCAGGATGGTCTCGATCTCTTGACCTCGTGATCCACCCGCCTCGGCCTCCCAAAGTGCTGGGATTACAGGCGTGAGCCACCGCGCCCGGCTTCTTTGATTTTTAATTGGATCTTTTTCTTTCTTTTTTCTTTTAAATATCTTTCAGCCAGTGCTACACTACATGTAATATTATTGGTTTGATGACTTTGGAATCTAACATTTCATTTAATGTTACAGAATCAGACTCAATTCCCACAATAATTTGTTAAATCTCATTAGTTCTGATTTTTCTGCTTTTTACATAAAGTATATTCTTTTAAGAAAAGCTATATTTGCCATGCATGGTGGCTGATGCCTGTAATTCCAGCACTTTGGGAGACCGAGGCAGGTGGATCACGAGATCAGGAGTTCGAGACCAGCCTGGCCAACATAGTGAAACCCCATCTCTATTAAAAATACAAAAATTAGCTGGATGTGGTAGTGTGAGCCTGTAATCCCAGCTACTCAGAAAGTTGAGGCAGGAGAATTGCTTGAACCCAGAAGGAGGAGGTTGCAGTGAACTGAGATTGTACCACTGTGCGCCAGCCTGGGTGACAGAGTGAGACACTGTCTCAAAAAAAAAAAAAAAGAAAGAAAGAAAGAAAAAGAGAAGCTATATCCCAGTGTCACCTCTGGAATCAATATAAACATTTACTTCCTCTTATCATGCTTCAAATTAGAACACTAGAACACAGGATTCTCTCTAAATTGAATACTTAGAGGAAAAACATTAAAACAAAAAAAAACTAAATTATCCTTTCATTCCTGTTTGCCTATCCCTCCCCAGATAGCTTTTAAAACCTTGTTATTCACATATTGTACAACTGAATGTGATCTTTCCCATGACCAGCAATGCAAAAGCTCCTATATTCAACTCAGTTTCTATTTTCTATTTTGTTTTAAAGATAAAGGGGTTCAATTAAAAATACTGGGAAAGTTTATACCTTAAAAATAAGTTTTAAAAAACATTAAAATGTAGGTAACTTGGCAATACTTTTTGTTTTCTTTCTGTAAATACCTGAATTATGATTTCACAACCTAAAAAATAAAAGTTAACCCAATCAGTAACAAAGTGCTATCTGAAAACCATCATTCAAAAAATGCCACCTTCAACAAGCCTTGGGATGGAATATCACCTTAGTAATGGTCATCTATTTTTCTGGTATATATAAACATGAAATATATGTAAAGTTGGCCGGGTGTGGAGGGACACGCCTGTAATCCCAGCACTTCGGGAGGCTGAGGTGGGCGGATCACGAGATCAGGAGTTCGAGACCAGCCTGGCCAACATAGTGAAACCCCATCTCTATTAAAAATACAAAAATCAGCCATGCCTGAGGTCCCAGCTACTTGAGAGGCTGAGGCTTGAACCCGGGAGGCAGAGGTTGTGGTGGTAAGCCAAGACTGCACCACTGCACTCCAGCCTGGACAACAGAGCAAGGCTCTGTATCAAAATAAATAAACAAACAAACTATATTTAAAGTGTTAAACTATGATATTTTATGGCAAGTTACAGAGTTTTAAAGACAACTGAGGCCAGGTGTGGTGGCTCATGTCTGTAATCCCAGCACTGTGGGAGGCTGAGGCAGGTAGACCACCTGAGGTCCAGAGTTTGAGACCAGCTAACCAACAAGGTGAAATCCTGTTTCTACTAAAAATACAAAACTTAGCTGAGCGTGGTGGCAGGTGCCTGTAGTCCCAGCTTCTCAGGAGGCTGAGATAGGAGAATTGCTTGAACCCGGGAGGCAGAGGTTGCAGTGAGCTGAGATCGTGCTACTGCATTCCAGCCTGGGAGACAGAGTAAGACTCTGTCTCAAATAAATAAATAAATAAACAAACAAACAAACAACGGAATTCAAAATGTTTTAATACGGTCTCTACTTATCTTGTAGCAATGCACACCAAGAATTTGCTAAATCAATAAATCATAAATACTAAGTATACTCTTCATTGACATAAACAATCACATGCAGGTCTCCAGATGTATTTTAGAGTTTGAGAAAAATTTTCAGTTACCATATGGCAAATGGCAACCTACTCAAAAACAATTCTACATTGCATAAGATTACATGGTCAACCATCTTCCCAACTATCTGTTCAAAGAAAGTTGCCTAACAAAAAAATAGCAGTGCTTTGTAGTAACCCTTTGCTGTAAGAACAAACAACTTTTTATGTTAGAAAATGCTAATGCCAGCCAGGTGTGGTGGCTCACTCCTGTAATCCCAGCACTTTGGGAGGCTGAGGTGGGTGGATCACCTGAGGTCAGGAGTTCGAGACCAGCCTGGCCAACAGGGTGAAACGCTCTCTCTACCAAAAATACAAAAATTAGCCAGGTGTAGTGGTGGGTGCCTGTAATCCCAGCTACTTGGGAGGCTGAGGCAGGAGAATCACTTGAGCTTGGTAGGTGGAGGTTGCAGTGAGCCGAGATTATGCCATTGCACTCCAGCTTGGGCAACAAGAGCAAGACACAGGCTCAAAAAAAAAAAAAGAAAATGTTAATCCCTTAAATGTGGCAGAAATATTATAGAAAGATGTCTAAATGAGGCAGCATAATCTAAAAAGCAACATAAAATATGAGCTTACTGATTTATACTTCATCTTGTTCCAATGGCAGATATCCTGATTCTCCAAAGCACAAGGAGCTGCCACTTCTGAGTGGGCCCAGCATTTCAAAATCGGGAACTCTGAGGGAAGTGGTAGAAAATGATGTCAGACAGGAGGCTGAGGCAGGAGAATTGCCTGAACCCAGGAGGCAGAGGTTGCGGTAAGCTGAGATATTGCACTCCAGCCTGGGTAACAAGAGCGAAATTCAGTCTCAAAAAAAAAAAATGATGTCAGAAAACCTGTATTTGGATTCAAAGCTAGGCTTGTATTAAACCTCAACAGATAGAAGTAGTCAAATATTTTAACACATTATGTATATGATTTGGACCCATCTATCACATACTGTTATTTTAGCATCCTTTTTATGTGAATGCCTAAGAAATTAGAAAATTACAAAAGTATTGCAGAAGTTGAACGTGACTCTTTTTCTTTTTGAGATTTTTATGTGTGCTTTATTTTACAATCAAAAAGTTAAAAGAAAAAGAAACATGCTTTTGCCATCCCTGTCCTTGACTGCAACTTGCCACCATGCCTTTATTCTTATTTTTCAACCCTCAGAAAACACTTGCAACCCTTACCTTGGTCACAATACATCAACAAATCTGGGTTACTGACCACAGTAAAGGTTTCTCCATCTTTACTATGTGGCCGATGATAGCGGTAGTGCACAGGCAAAAAGGCTTGAAAACAATCAATGCACTGTGAATCTTGTCTGGCATAAATGAGAACTTCAGATTCCTTGGACAAATAGTTAGGGGCCTCTATATCAAAATTTTCCGAAACCATCATTGCCTGTTCAAAAAGAAAATAAATATTAATCAAGAAGAAATGAATGAGGAAGATTTTTTAAGAAGTTAAAACCAGAAGACTGCTATACAGATAAACAGCAGTGTCAAATTTGCCTTCTTTATAAACAATTTCATTCCCCTTCCAGCCTCAATTTTAAGGAGAAAAACACAAGATCGTTTATGTTTAACAAAAGTTTGCTTACTAAAAGTAAACTGAGGAAATTATATTCTAGGGTACCAAATTTCCCCATAACAAAAAATTATTTCTGGCTAGCTGCGGTGGCTCATGCCTATAATCCCAGCACTTTGGGAGGCTGAAGCGGGCAGATCACAAGATCAGGAGTTCTAGGCCAGCCTGGCAAACATGGTGAAACCCCGTCTCTACTAAAAACACAAAAATTAGCTGGGCATGGTGGCACATGCCTGTAATCCCAGCTACTCGGGAGGCTGAGGCAGGAGAATCACTTGAACCTGGGAGATGGAGGTTGCAGTGAGCCAAGATCACAACACTGCACTCTAGCCTGGCGACAGAGCAAGACTCCATCTCAAAAAATAAATATAAAAAAATTTAAAAACATTATTTCTGTGATATTTTCTTATTAGTCTTTGTTTAGGTGACAAAACAGGTGCCTAAGAACAGAGAAATTTTGTTACTATAGCGTTATTCAGTAACTACAAAAACTATGACAAAGGGTTAAACCTGTATTGAGTTAAAATGATTGGTATCATTCTGATAATTTCCTGTTCTTCAGAGAAGCAAGTGAGATGGCAATGAGTAAGAGCACTGCAGTCAGGAAGTCAAAGCAAAGTCAGCACTCTTTCTAGAGAGGGTATAAAAAGTTAATGGAAAAAACAGTAAATGATTTTTTAAAATAATATGGTAAAAACTATTTTAAATAAAAGTATAGTATTCTACATCAATGGTGAAAATGTCCATGTGACAGAAATTAGGCCTGAGTTACAATGTGTATATTTATTATGCATATATATCCACATATACATACATATTCATGTATACACACGTGTATATACACACACACATATAGGCATTACATACATAACCTATGTGCATATGTATGGATGTACACACATACAACTTCTCTTCAGATTGTCCATGCAAAACCCTGGTATAACTCATAGAAACAAACAGCATTAACTCCTTCCCATCACATCAAGCAACCTAACTTTCCTTTGACAGTGACACCAAGTGCTACATATTCATTACATGTTGTTCCTTTTCAGTTAAATCACAGCAGTTACAGAACTCATTGGCAAAAGCCAAGGAATTATATAATCAAGAACTTAGAAGTAGTCAAATTAAACCACTGTCCCAGTGAAGGCATTTTTCAGGTATACAGCCTAAATTAACTTCTCTCCACAAAAAAATCTCCTAATAACTGTACCTCTGTTATGTTTCTCTCTCGTAATGAAGCCAACTCATATGGATCCACAAAAAGTCCTGTAGGAATGTACTGTTTAATTAAGAGTCGGCACCTCTGTAAGTCCGCAATGCCTTCTCCAAACTTCACTTTTATTAAAAGGTCTCTGTAAGACAAGTGCATTTAAAGTAAATCTCTTCGTTCAATTGTTAAATGAGGTAACATAATACTATGTTCCTGTTAGTGAAAACACTGTATTTCTAATTCATTTTCCAAAAGTAGATTATAAGGTCAAATGAAATATGTATAACATGTCGGAATCATCCATTAGATCTTTCATAATTTATGTCATAAGCCACTATAGCATTACTGTAAAAATAGACAAAGACCAATGGAAAGGAATGGAATCCAATAACACTCACACAATTTTCAATAAAGGTACCAATGCTATTTAATGGGGAAAGGATAGTCTTTTCAATAAATGGTACTGAAACAACTAGATATTTACCTAGAAAAAAATAGGCCAGAGGGTGGGCACAGTGGCTCACGTCTATAATCCTAGCACTTTGGAAGGCCGAGGCGGCTGATTGCCTGAGCTCAGGAGTTCGAGACCAGCCTGGGTAACATGGCAATATGCCATCTCTACCAAAAATACAAAAATTAGCTGGGCACGGTAGCACATGCCTGTGGTCCAGCTACTCAGGAGGCTTAGGCAGGAGAGCTGCTTGAGTCAGGAGGCGGGGGTTGCGGTAAGCCAGGATCATGCCTTTGTACTTACAGCCTGAGTGACAGAGCAAAACCCCGTCTTAAAAAAAAAAAAAAAAAAAAAAGGCCGGGAATGGTGGCTCATGCCTGTAATCCCAGCACTTTGGGAGTCCGATGCAAGATTATCATTTGAAGCCAGGAGTCTGAGACCAGCCTAAGCAACATGGAGACTCCTGTCTCTATAAAAAATAAAACAATTAGTCAGGTGTGGTGATGTATGCCTACAGTCCCAACTACAAGGGAGGGTGTGGTAGGAGAATCTTTTCAGCCTGGGAGGTTGAGGCTGCAGTGAGCTCTGAAAGCGCCACTATATTCCAGCTTGGGAGGCAGAGGCAAGATCCTATCTCAAGAAAAAAAAAAGAGAGAGAGAGAGAAGATATTTTTTTAAAAACTTAATCCAACTTTAAGAGATGGAGAATACAATTTCTGAAATAAAAGCATACCCAAATGTAATTAAAAGTCATTACATGTTGAAGAAGAAAAGATTAGTGACTTGGGGACAGAGGAACAGAAACTATCTACTGAAGCACAGAGAGGAAAAAAGACCAGGAAGAAAAAAGGAACAGCCGTCATGGCTTTAATAATATCAAGTAGTCTAGTATACCTACAATTGGAGTTCCTAAATAAGAAGAGAGAATGTAACAGAAAAAAAAAGAAGATATAATGGCTGAACACTTTCTGAATTTCATAAAAATTATAAATCTATAAATCCAAGCAGCTCAGCCAACCCCAAGCATGATAAATACAAAGAAAATCACATCAAGGCACATTATTATCCAGTCAATGGAAAAAAAATCTTAAAAACTATCAAAAATTATGTAGAGAGTAATAAAGATAAGAATAAGCTAGAAGATAATGGTGCAACCTATTTAAAGTACTAAAAGAAAAGAAGCTGTCAATCTAGAATTTTATATACAGGAGGAAAACCCTTCAAAAATGAAGGCAAAATAAAAATTCACACAAATACAAACTAAGAGAATTTGCCACTGCAAGAAATGACAGAAAGTAAATGATACTAGATGGAAACATAAATCTGAAAGAAAGAAGAGATCAGAAATGGTAAATATGTGGGAGAATATGAAATACTTTTCTCTGTTTTAATTGCTTTCACATATGACTGATAGACAAATTGGAACCCTTGTGCATTGTTGGTGGTACTGTAAAATGATATGGCCACTATGGAAAACTGTATGACAATTTTTCAAAAAATTAAAATAGAATTAGCATATGATCCAGCAATTCCACTTCTGGGTATATCCCCAGAAGAAATGAAAGCAGGCATTTAAGAGACAATTGTAAATCCTGTTCACAGCAGCATTATTTGCAACTGCCAAAAGGCAGGAGCAACCAAAATGCCCACCAACAATGAATGGATAACCAAGATGTGGTATAAACATACAACAGAATATTATTCAGCTTTAAAAAGAAGGGAAATTCTGACATACCCTAAAACATGTATGAACTGTGAGGATGTTATGCTAAGTGAAATAAGCTAGTCACAAATATTATATGATTCCATTTATATGCAGTACCTAGAGGAGTCAAATTCACAGAGACAAAGTAGAATGGTGGTTGCCAGGAGCTGGGAGAAGGGGGAATGAGTAGTTATTGCTTAATAGGCAAAGAGTTTCACAAAATGAAGAGTTCTGTAAATGAATAGTGGTGATGGTAGCACAATAATGTGAATGTACTTGATGCCACTGAATTGTGCACTTAAAAATAGTTAAAACTGTAGTTAGCTGGGTGCAGTGGCTCATGCCTGTAATCTCAGACCTTTGGGAGGCCGAGGTGGGTGGATCACAAGGTCAGGAGTTTGAGACCAGCCTGACCAACATGGTGAAATCCCATCTCTGCTAAAAACACAAAAAATTAGCCCGGCGTGGTGGTACGTGCCTATAATCCCAGCTACTTAGGAGGCTGAGGGAGGAGAATTGCTTGAACCCAAGAGGTGGAGGTTGCAGTAAGTTGAGAAGGAGTCACTACATTCCAGCCTGGGCGACAGAGTGAGACTTCATCTCAAAAAAAAAAAAAAAAAAAAAAAAAAAAAAAAAATTAAAATTGTAAATTTTATGTTATGGGTATTTTATCACAATTAAAATAAATAATGTAAAAAGTGACTGCTTAAAGAAAAACCAATAACAATATATTGTGGGGTTCATAACACAAGTGAAAAATTAAGTAAAATATGTAATTACAATAGCATAGAGAAAAGAAGGAAATGAAACCATTCTGATAGAACAGTATCTGTGACAGAATAAAATTATTTGAAGGTAGACTGTGATAGGCAACAATTGCACATTGTAAACCCTAAAGCAACAAATTAAAAACAGAGAGAAGTACAGCTAATAAGCCAAAAATTGAGATAAAATAGAATGCTTAAAAAATACTCAATACATCCAAAATAAGGCAAAAAAAAAAAAAAAAAAGGAAAATACTAGATGGAACAAATAGAAAAACAAATAGAAAAAAAGTAGCAAGATAAGATTTAAACCAAACCAACCATATTAATATTTACATGAAAAATAAATGGTCTAATGACTCCAATTAGAATGCAGAGACTGACAGATGGACAAAAGAGCAACTCCTTTCACAGGCTCTTGGGATTTGGAAAGAAAAAAAGGCCATCCTTAACTATATGATATCATACGCTATCTATAGGAAACACACTGAAGACAGAAAGTTTAAAGTAAAAGGATAGAAAAGATATGCAAATATTAATAATAAATATGGGATGGCTATATTAATATTAGAATAAGGAGATTCCAGGACAAGGAATATGGTCAGTCATAAAGAAAGACATTATATAAAGATAAAAGGGCCAATTCATCAAGGAACATACCAAGAACATCAAGAACAATCCTAAATGTAGCATACACACCCAAAAACAAAGCTTCAAAATAGTCATCGTTAAATTCTATTAAATATTAAAGGAAGAAATAATAACAATGCAACACAAGCAGAAAATAGAGAAGAATGTATTTCCCAACCTATTTTATAAGGCCAACAATGCCATTGGCAGCGAAACCAGGATAAGACATCGCAACACAGTTAACGGGCCAATAGCCTTCATGAACTTGTACAAGTAAAAATACTTAGTAAGTTATTAGCAAAACAAATACAGACATATTTCAAGAAGATAATACTGCATGACCAAGGGGTAGGTTTACTATTGGAAACATCAGTGTACTTCATCATATTAACAGAACAAAGTATAAAAATTGTATGATCCTCTCAAAACGGAAGAAAAAGTGTCTGACAAAATTAATACCTAATCATGAAAAAAACCTCTCAGGAAACTAGAAATTAAGAGAACATCCTCAACTGATAAAAGCTATCTACAAAAAACCTAACACAAATATACTTCATGGTGAAATACCTATACCCTTACCTTTTTTGTTTTTTTTTTTTTGAGACAGAGTCACTCTCTGTTGCCCAGGTTGGAGTGCAGTGGCGCAATCCTGGCTCACTGACACCTCGGCCTCCTGGGTTCATGGGATTCTCCTGTCCCAGTCTTCCAAGTAGCTGGGATTACAGGTGCCTGCCACCACACCCAGCTAATTTTTTGTATTTTTAGTAGAGATGGGGTTTCACCATGTTGGCCAGGCTGATGTCAAATTGCTGACATTCAGGTGACCTGCCTGCCTCAGCCTCCCAAAGTTCTGGGATTACAGGCATGAGCCACAGTGCCCAGCCAAGTAATTACTTTTAATGGCAAAAACCTGCAATTACTTTTGCACCAGCCTAATACATGGTTAAAATAAGCTGAAAAAAAAATCTAAATAAATGAAGATGCCATATTCATGGATTAAAACATTCATTAATTAATGTTAACACATAAATTATCTCCAAATTGATCTAGTGTTTCAAGAATCTCAATCAAAATTTCATAAAGCTTTTTTGAAGCAATCATTAACCTGATTTAAAAATTGATATGGAAATGCAAAAGATCTAAAACAACCAGAACAATTTTTTGGGAAAAAAAAAAAAACAAAGTTGGTGGATTCATACTTTCTGATGGTCAAGATAGTTATCAAGATGGTCATATATATAGATCAGGAGTTGGAAAACTTTTTCTGTAAAGAGCCTGACAGTAAATAATTTAGGTTTTACAAGCCACATATAGTCTCTGTTGCATTTTTCTTTGCTTTGGTTTTCTTTTTTTTTTTTTTTTTTTTTTTTGAGACGGAGTTTCGCTCTTGTTACCCAGGCTGGAGTGCAATGGCGCGATCTCGGCTCACCGCAACCTCCGCCTCCTGGGCTCAAGCAATTCTCCTGCCTCAGCCTCCTGAGTAGCTGGGACTACAGGCACGCACCACCATGCCCAGCTCATTTTTTGTATTTTTAGTAGAGACGGGGTTTCACCATGTTGACCAGGATGGTCTCGATCTCTTGACCTCGTGATCCACCCGCCTCGGCCTCCCAAAGTGCTGGGATTACAGGCTTGAGCCACCGCGCCCGGCCTGGTTTTCTTTTTTTAAGAAAGGGTCTCACTCTGTTGCCCAAGCTGTCATGTAGTGGCATGTCTTGGCTCACTGGAACCTCAATCTCCTGGATTCAAGCGATCTGCTCACTTCAGCCTTCCAAGTAGCTAAGACTACAACTGCATGTCACCATGTCTGGCTGATTTTTTTTTTTTTGTAGAAATGGGGTTTCACCATGTCACCCAGGCTGGTCTCATACTCCTGGGCTCAAGGAACCCACCCACCTCAACCTCCCAAAGTGCTGGGATTACAGATGTGCACCACCATACCTGGCCCACTTTTGGTTTTTAATCTTTAAAAATGTAAAAAATGTAGCTGGGCATGATACTATACACCTGTTGTCCCAGCTACTGAGGAGGCTGAGGCAGGAGGATCACTTGAGCCCAGGAGTTCCACCTGCAGTAAGCAATTATTGTGCCACTGTATTCCAGCCTGGGTAAGAGTGGGACCCTGTCTAAGCAAAATGAAATGGCAAGCCATAAACAGGGAGAAAATATTCTCAATGCATACATCTGCCTAAGGACTTATACCAAAAATACATATATGAAGAATTCTTACAACTTAATAAGATAATAAACAACCCAACTTAAAAATGGGTGTTTTCATTTAAGCAAACACTTCCTAAAGGAAGATATACAATAAGCATGGTGGAAAGATGCTCAACATTATTAGTCATTAAGGAAATGCAAATTAAAACTCCAATGAAATGCCACTACACAGCCACCAGAATGTCAAAGACTAATCATATCCAGTGTTGCTGAAGAAATGGGAGAAAGAGAATTCTCATACACTGCTGGTGAAATGTAAAATGGTATAACCACTTTGGAAAACAGTTTGACAGTTTCTTAAAAGGTTCAACATATATGTACCATATACTCAGAAATTCCACTCATCAATATCTACCCAAGAGAAATGGAAACTTGCCCACACAAAGACATGTACACAAATGTTCATGGCAGCCTGCTTTAAAATAACAGCCCCAAACTGGAAACTGCTCCCATGCCATTGATATGTGAATGGATACACATTTCAGCACTTAGCAACAAAAAAGAACAAACTACTTCTATATAGAACATGTATGAATCTCACTGATGTAACACTGAGTGAAAGAAGCCAGATATAAAAAAGCATATACTGTGTGATTTCATTTATATAAAAGTCTAGAAAACCTATACAGTGACAGAAAACAGACAAGTGGTTGGCTGTGAGTGGGTATGCGAGGAAGAATCATTGGAAGCAGCACACAGGTATTTTTTAGGATAGAAATGTTCTATATTTTGATTCTGGTCTGGTTGTGTTTACATGAGTGTATACATGTGTCAAAACTCAATGAAGTTGATTTTTTTAAACTATGAAATAATTCTATTATAATTCCTTGGAATTATATAACCAAGGCACTGAGAGGCTAAGTAACTTATCTAGCCAAGATTCAAATTAGCATAGTTTTACTCTAAGACCCACATCATTAGCTATATAGATATATTTTCTATAAAAGCAGAATATATCTATAATCTATTTTCTCCTGGATACTATACACGTATTTATGAACAGGTAATACTTTTATAATCAGAAAAAGCATACATATTTTAAAAAGACAGAGACCATTCAGAACCTCCCTCTAAGATCACATTCGATCCATTAATCAGAAGATGTTGGATATATTTGTGAATCTGTATGAAGTCATTCACCTCTATTGTCTTCCAATATACATTTCTTCATCTTGTTGACAAATCTAAGATGTAAAACTCGGTCAAAATCTTCCAGAAAATCTGTATATAGAGATACTATAATTATAGCATTTCCCTGATCTACCTATCAAGTAACTCTGTAAAGAAAATATTTGTAATACATTCATGCAAATTCTCAAAGATCACCACTTCTTATTTATTTATTTTTCATGAAAAAGAGGTTTTTCATTTTACCAAAAATTGCACCAAGGTAAAGCCAAGCTCCAGTTGATGCATACATGTTGTGTAGGCATTGGCAGTATTGCCCTCACTACGTACTCACTGGACTGCAGCACAACCCCAAGAAAAGCACAGTTACACCACCTCTTCTGTGTTCACAAACCATCCTTTTAATAATGTGGTCTAGGCCGGGTGCAGTGGCTTACGCCTGTAATCCCAGCACTTTGGGAGGTCAAGGTGGAGGATCATTTGAGGTCAGGAGTTCGAGACCAGCCTGACCAACATGGTGAAACCCCATCTCTACTAAAAATACAATAATTAGCTGGGCTTGGTGGTGTACACCTGTAATCCCAGCTACTTGGGAGACTGAGGCAGGAGAATCACTTGAACCTGGAAGGTGGAGGTTGCAGTGAGCCAAGATTGTGCCACTGCACTCCAGCCTGGGCATGACTGAGCAAGACTCCATCTCAAAAAAAATTTTTTTTCATATAATGGTACTAAATTTGAGTCAGAGCTCTATCACTCTAATTTTTACCAAATTATATTCTTTGAGCTCTACCTCCTTCATCTGAAAAATAAGAAAAAATCATCTATCTTATGCCATTGTAAAGATTGAGTGGAATATTATATATAGGCACTGGTTGTATATATGAAAATATACTATATACGAGAAGGTGTGTGTAGGTTCTATACTAATACTATGCCCTTTGATACAGAGGACTTGAGCATCTGAGGATTTTGGTGTCCTCAGGGGAAGTCCAGGAGGAACCAAACCCTTCAGATACCAAGGGACAATTGTACATGGTAAATATATATTTGTTTTCTTTTTCGCTCTACTCAGTTATTTTAATCACTGTTTCAAAGAGTGAACCACATATGCCATCACTGAATAACTTTGAGAAAGCAAGTGATTTTTCTTTTCTTTTTTTTTTTTTTTTTTTTTTGAGACAAAGTCTCGCTCTGTTGCCCACGCTGGCGTGCAGTGGCGTGATCTCAGCTCACCACAACCTCCACCTCCAGGGTTCAAGCGATTCTCCTAACTCAGTCCCCCAAGTTGCGGGGACGATAGGCACACACCACTACGCCCAGATAATTTTTTCATGTTTAGTAGAGATGGGGTTTCACTACATTGGCCAGGCTTGTCTTGAACTCCTGACCTCGTGATCTGCTCACCTTGGCCTCCCAAAGTGCTAGGATTACAGGCGTGAGCCACTGCGCCCAGCCTGATTTTTCAGTTTATACATATTTCGACTATCAACTTTTTGTACACAATTATATGAGACATTATTTTAATAGGAATAGAAATAATGGGCAACTTGCCTGTGGAAACCATCTTTCAAAACTTCTTGTCTCAAAGTAATTTCAGAACACGTGGCCCTTATGCCTATAAGAACCAAAGATATTTTTTAAAAAACAAAAGCACTCAATAAAAGAATATTTAAATAATTAGAAAACAGTTATTTTAGTAGGCTTTACTTGCCTAGAAAATCTATCCAACCTAAAAACAAAAACTTTCAAAATTTAAGCAATTTGAGATATATATAAATCTACTTCCAGTATAGCACCGTGGTTAAGAACAATGACTCTGGAGTTAGAGTGCCTAATTTCAAATCCCAGTCTTTAACTTAACAGCTGTGTCAACTTTGGGCAAGATAGTTTATCTCTCTATTAGCTCTCATGAGAATTTAATATATGTAGAAGCACTTGGAACAGACCCTACTGACCACATAGTAAGCATTCTATGTAAGTGTTTGTTATTAATATTGCTTTATTCAGGTGATCCCAAGATGCCAAAAAGGAACAGAATGGCTAAACAGCCAGGAAATCTCCATTTTAATCCTAGTTCACGGAAACTGTGTATCAGACACATAATGGCAACTTCTATATTCTAACATCCATGCCTACAAAACCAGGAAGATGATACATTTATGCCTTGTGGAGATATTGGAAGGTTTAAGAAAAAAAAAGAAAAGCAAAGCTGGAGGCACTTAAAGTTTCAATGGGTTCCACTGTAAACTTAGAATAAACGGAAATCTCAGCATACTGACTTCACCGAGAATCCAGACATTAAAGCTATTACTCAGAGCCAGGTGTGCTAGCTCACACCTGAGGTGGGAATATTGCTTGAACCCCGGGGATGGAGGCTGCAGTGAGCTATGGTTGCACCACTGCACTCAAGCCTGGGTGACAGACAGAGAGACCTTGTCTCTAAAGACAAAAAAAAAAAACAAAACTATTACTCAATGTAAGCATCTTAAAACTAAAAATTCAGTTACTACTGGCAAGCAAGTCTGCCAGGCATTTGCTATGGAACTTTGTTCCCTTTCAAAAGCTGTAAATCTGTGGGAAGAACATTAAAAAAACACACAAGCCTGGACAACATAGCAAAACTCCATCTCCATGAAGAAAAATACAAAAATTAGCTACTGAGGAGGCTAGGTGAGAGGATGGCTTAGGCCAGGAGGCAGAGGGAGGCTGCAGTGAGCCAATATTGCACCACTATACTCCAGCCTGGGTGACAAAGCCAGACCTTGTTTCAAAAACAAACAAACAAAACACCCCCTCACACACAGAAAACTATATATTATTTACATAATCCTATTATTATCATTGAATATTGCTGAATCCATCGGATGTGCTTCTGAAAAGATGCATTAAGAAAAATGATGTGGGGCCGGGCACAGTGGCTCACACCTGTAATCCCAGCACTTTGGGAGGCTGAGGCCAGCGGATATCGAGGTCAGGAGTTCGAGACCAGCCTGACCAACATGGTGAAACCCATCTCTACTAAAAATACAAAAATTAGCCAGGAGTGGCTTGTAATCCCAGCTACTCAGGAGGCTGGGGCAGGAGAATTGCTTGAACCTGGGAAGGGTAGGTTGCAGTGGGCTGAGATCGCACTACCGCACTCCAGCCCTGGCAATGGAGTGAGACTGTCTTAAAAAAAAAAAAAAAAAAAAGAAAAAAAGAAAAGAAAGAAAGAAAGAAAAAGAAAAGAAAAGAAAAATGATGTGAAGGTGAAACTATCTGAAGGGATGAAAAAGAATAGGAAAAAATAACACTTGTTAAATATTATCTAGCATGCTAGATCCTCTACTTGGTGCTTTCATGTGTGTTTTAACTTTCACAATCTAGTAAAGCAAGCAAAATTACTGCTATTTGTTTGCAGGAGGAAACTTGTACTTACAAAGCATCAGTAACTGACCCTGGGTCATACAACTAACTACGTGACCCATTAGAAGCGAGGTTTGCCTGACTTTTAAAGCCTAAGATACTTCCACTCTCAACAATAAAATTGAAAGAAATTTTAGTGTTACAGCTCTTTTAGAATTTATCTCGTTATGTTTCACTGGAAAACCTCCAACCCTCAAAAAAGAAATTGTATTTGCTTTGGAGAAGTATATGATCTTTTCCCAAAAAAACAAATCCCCACACCGCGTATGTATCTTGTACTAATCCAGATTTTTCTTTGTTCTTTTTTTTTTTTTTGAGACAGACTCTCCCTCTTTTACCAGGCTGGAGTGCAGTGGCTCGATCTCAGCTCATTATAACCTCTGCCTCCCAGGTTCAAGTGATTCTCCTGCCTCAGCCTCCCAAGTAGCTGGAACTACAGGCGCGTGTCACATACAGCTAATTTTTGTATTTTTAGTAGAGACAGAGTTTCACCATGTCAGCCAAGATGGTCTCGCTCTCTCGACGTTGTGATCTGCCTGCCTCAGCCTCCCAAAGTGCTGGGATTACAGACACGAGCCACGGTGCCCGGCCTCTTTGTTCTTTTCAAATTTTTTTGTTTTTTTTTTTTTTAGAGACAAAGCCTTACTCTGTCACCCAAGCTGAGTGCAGTGGCATGATCGCAGCTCACTGCAGCCTTCAACTTAGCAATCCTCTTGCATCAGCCTCCCAAGTAGCTAGGACTACAGGCCCATGCCACCACATATGGCTACTTTTAAATTTTTCTGTAGAGACAGGGTCTTGCTGTTTTCCAGGCTGGTCTCGTACTCTTGGTCTCAAGCAATCCTCCCACCAGAGCCTCCCGAAGTGTTAGAATTACAGGTATGCGACTGGGCGCAGTGGCTTGTGCCTATAACACCGGCACTTTGGGAAGTTGAGGCAGGCGGATCACCTGAAGTCCGGAGTTTGATACCAGCCCAACCAACCTGGAGAAACCCCGTCTCTACTAAAAACACAAAAAATTAACCAGCCATGGTGGCATGCGCCTATAATCCCAGCTATTCCAGAGGCTGAAGCAGAATTGCTTGAACCTGGGAGGCGGAGGTTGCAGTGAGCAGAGATCACGAATTGCACTCCAGCCTGAGCAACAAGAGCGAAACTCTGTCTCAGAAAAAAAAAAAAAAAAAAAAAAAAAGAATTACAGGTGTGAGCCACTGTGCCCAGCACAAATCCAGATTTTTCTTCATCGTGTTTAATTTTAACGGGGGTAGGGTGGGAAATGAGGGCTAATATCTACCTATAAATTAAATTAGAAGAAAAATGATTAACAGGCTTAAATTCTATGGGTATGTACACTAGACAGCAGTTGACCATTGGGATTGGAGAAAGGCTAATTTACAAACAGTATAGCAAAACTATTATTATGACTTTAAAGGCAAAAGTACCATTTTGAAAACGAATTTGTTGGACGTGAATTTACCTTCAACATTTTTCCTCTTAAATATTACTTTGGTTGTGGTGAGCTGGCTTTGGAAATTGACTCCTTTGTAATTTTTTTTTTTGAGACGGAGTCTCACTCTGTCACCCAGACTGGAGTGCAATGGCGTGATCTAGGCTCATTGCAACCTCTGCCTCCCGAGTTCAAGCGATTCTCCAGCCTTAGCCTCCCGAGTAAGCACACGCCATCATGCCCGGCTAATTTTGACCCCTTTTTAATTATAAAATGCCAATGTTGGAAGCCTCTAGAGATCACCAAATCCAACTGTTTAAAAACTCTTCTTGGCCTCATAATCCTTTCTTTAGATAAACTTGGAAACCCAATATGTAAACACACAAAAGCAGAGCTTCGCTGATTGACAGATAATAAATGGATCTAAATGGTACGAAGGATGACAGAAACATCCTCATTTTACAGATGGAGAAACTTCCCAGGTTTGTGCTTTCCTTCCCCCGTCAAACCTTATTGCTTTATTGTAATTACTCCTGCACTTGTCCAGCAGTAGTACAAGCAGTTTGCCAACTACTCTTGCACGAACAACTAGCAGTTTGCCACGGAGTCCCTATACTCAATTTGGGGACTCTCGTGCCTCACAGAGCACTAAGGCCTTGCGGGCCCCTTGGTGATCAGAAGCTTCGTGCAATCCAAGAGCATGCCAAGACGCTTGACGGCTGACCTTCCTTCTCAGTACTTTAGCAACAGGGCGGCCAGTCCAGCCTGGGAGCCGCAGAGCCCGAGCCCGACTCTCCGGAGGCCCGGGATCCGCCGCAGAGCAAAGCGCACGGGAGGGCAGGGGGACGGAGGAGGGCACGTGGCTCTGCTGTTTGACCTCCTCCGGCTCGCCCTATCGATCTAGGTCCCGTGCCGGGTCCCCACGTCCCAGCAACCCGCGAAGAGGCAGGGGAGCCGGGACCGCTCACCACGCTCTGGCCCTCGAGCCCCGCCCGCACTCCGCAGCCCGGCCCCCCTTACCGGCGTCAGAGCTTGCGGCAGTGAAGGCCGCGGCGGGCCCGCGCGTGAGCCAGGTCGCCGCCCCGAGGAGCAGACAGGCGACTGCCCGAACCGCCGCCACCCAAGCCGCCAGGACGCCGGACGCCCGAGAGGGGCGCGTGGAGCCAGCTGTGGACACAGCAAGGGGCGTGCACTGACCGCCCGCCGCTCCTACAGCGCGCTACCGCGGATTTCGCGGCCGGGACCCAGTGCTGGGTGCGCGCGCCTAGCGCCCGCGCATCTTCACTGCCTGCAGCCCCGGCCCCCAAACGATCCCGCGCAGCGTGAGGCGTCCGTTCCCGCCCCTCCGTTCCCCTCTCCGCCCTCCCGGGGCGGGCCAGGAGCTGCGCACGCGCGGGGACGCGCGCCGGGCCTGTTGCTGTGGAAACGGCTCCGCCAGCGCCTGTCGGGACCTGGGGATCCCCGCACGCAGCGGTGGGAGCCGGTGGACCGCGCCCCCGGCCGGCCCCCACCTCCGTTTCCCGGTATTTCCTGATTCGGGCCTCCAGTCGGGGAGTTCACCCCTCGGGCTCGTCAGTAGGGCTGTGGCTGTCGCCTCTTCCTGCAGCGCCAGGCTCCGCCCGCCCTCAAAGTCGGCTTAGGTGCTTTCCGTGCACTGCGGTTGGGTGGAAAAATACCCACTCCTGGCTGTTTAGACGTTGGCCTGCAGAAGATGTCATTTCTGTATTTCTCTAAGGGTAAGAAAGCCAGCCTTGCACTAGTGGAGACGTGAGTAGGGAGAGAATCGTCTACCCTTTGGGGACATCCGTACGCCTTAGGTGCTGTGGGGCTTCCTAACAAAATTGTGGGCAGTTACTGGTCTCTGGGGAGAAGAATATTCAGGAAGAATAATCCGGTAAACGTGCGGTCCTCCTTCTTGAACAGAGTGGAATCTGTAAGCAGGCCTAGAGAGCATCCAGGTGGCTTGGAGTGGAACAGAGGGCTCTAGGACGGGTGTTGCAAAGAGAAAAGAGAGTGTAAGTCAAAAGATAACGATCTAAAACTGAAAATAACAGGGCAAGGTGTCTCACGCCTGTGGTCCCAGCACTTTGGCCAGATCACCAGAGGTCAGGAGTTCGAGACCAGCCTGAACAACATGGCGAAACCCCGTCTCTACTGAAAATATAAAAATTAGCCAGGCATGCTGGCAGGCATCTGTAATCTCAGCTACTTAGAAGGCTGAAGCACGAGAATCGCTTGAACCTGGGAGGCAGAGATTGCTGTGAGCCGAGATCGCGCCACCGCACTCCACCTGGGCGACAGAGCAACACTCCGTCTCAAAACAAAAACACTGAAAATGGTAGTATAAGCATGTTTTTTAAGAAATGGAGAGAGAAATTTTGGAAGATATGCCTTTTAAAATTCAGTCTGGCTCCCTATGAAAAGGATAGGGCAAACTGTAGTTTTTTTTATAAGCCTGATAGAATTATTTTATATTCCAAATACAAACATTATTTTAGCAAAAATTAAAGTTAAATTTTAAAAAGAAAAGAGTCTAGTAAAGCTACATTATTTGAATACCAATTGCGTACATCTTTGACGAGGGCAATCATTTGCTTCAGTGTGTAGAGTTTATATTGTGCTCAGTAGGTTCTAGTTTACTAACATCAAATTTTAGGTGTATTGGGAGTATTATTCATTTTAATAACAAGAAAAGGAAAAGAAGGAGAAAATGGTGTGAGATCATTGCATCAGATTAGAAGTAGAGCACAGTAATTTTTTAAAATAGGTTTTTGTGACCGAGCACAGTGACTCACGTGTTTGTAGTCTCACCTACTCTGGAGGCCGAGGCAAGGAGAATCGCTTGAACCTGGGAGGTAGAGGTTGCAGTGAATTGAGATCCCACCATTGCACTCAGCCTGGCTACAGAGCAAGACTCCGTCTCACCCTGCCCCCACCCGAAAAAAAAGAAGAAAGAAAGAAGACACAATCAAGGGTGATTATTTTCTGTTTCCCCTCTCCTTTGCCCCATTATTCTACAGTGAATGTGTACCATCACTGCTAAGTGTTTTATAAAAAGTATGTTCCTTTATATATAAGGTTTTTGAGTGGAAAAAAAAAAAAAGTAAGTTCCTAATAGTGATTCTCCAACAGAACTGAGTTCACGGAGATATCATCACCCTATGCCACTTTACCTCAATGTTTCTTGACATTGATGAATCTTTCTGAGAATGTCATAGTCACATCTAAAGCAGTACTTATGATTAAGTGGATTTGGGCATTGAGGGTGGGGAAAGGAAGAGAGAAAGGTAAGTATTAATCTACAAATAGCTGTATTTCTTGTAGCTAGAAAAATATTATATAGTGAGACAAGCCAAAATAAAAGCCATGGAAACGTTACTGACTTGTATCTGAAGAAGCTGATTCTGCATCAGGTCTACTTTTTGATCGGGCTTCTAGACTGTAAGTCATTACGAAAGTGTTCAGGGACCATCATGTTAATTCATAGCATTAAACAATGTGTGGAATGCCTACTATGTTCCAGGTATTATGCTGAGATATTGTGGTGAAAAATGAATATGCCCCCCACCCTCATGTACCATATTGACTAGAAGGGAAGATAGATGATTAAATAAGAAATAATGAAAAACTCTAGTAAAATAATTAGGAAAGTACAAAGGAGGCAGCTCTGGACTGGTGAACCCCTCAGGACAAAACAATTAAGGTTAAAAAGCTTGGCCGGCTGCGGTGGCTCACGCCTATAATCCCAGCACTTTGGGAGGCTGAGGTGGGTGGATCACGAGGTCAAGAGATCGAGACCATCCTGGTCAACATGGTGAAACCTCGTCTCTACTAAAAAAAAAAAAAAAATACAAAAATTAGCTGGGCATGGTGGCGCATGCCTGTAGTCCCAGCTACTCGGGAGCCTGAGGCAGGAGAATTGCTTGAACCCAGGGGGTGGAGGTTGCGGTGAGCCGAGATCGAGCCATTGCACTCCAGCCTGGGTAACAAGAGCGAAACTGTCTCAAAAAAAAAAAAAAAAAAAAAAAAAAACTCATAGTATCTTGATATAGAGCATGCTTGATACATCCTTTATTAATTGATAAATAGTAAAGACCTTGTAGTTTAGCTATTGGGCTGACTTAGGGATTCATATTCAATCTTTGACTAAAAGATTCAAACTGGATTGCATCCCCAGATTCACATACGAACAAGTCTATATTCTTGAGGGAACCAGAGTCTTAGGAGTCCAACAGATTGAAACTAACCCAGGGCCAAACTGAACTTTCCTGGCAGCTCTCAAAGTAACTGAGCTTTGTGCTCGCTTCAGCCCACAGATACCAAAATTGGAATGATACAGAGAGGATTAGCATGGCCTCTGCGCAAGTATGGCACACAAATTCAGGAAGCATTCCATATTTTAATTGAAAAAAGAAAAAGAAGTCCAGGCGTGGTGGCTCACACCCATAATCCCAGCTACTCAGGAGGCTGTGGCAGGAGAATCACTTGAACCCAGGAGGTGGAGGTTGTGGTAAGCTGAGATTGCACCATTGCACTCCAGCCTAGGTGACAGAGTGAAACTCCATCTCAAAAAAAAAGAAAAGAAAAAAATATTAAGCTTCACAGGCTGAGCATGTTGTCAGAACTGGACTAGAACCAGATCTTCTGGGGAAAAGGGGTGAGGGAAATGAATGACATTTATCGAATACCTAGTTGTTTTTTCTCTTTAGCAGGAAGTCATTATGCAACTTACACATTGTCATCAGATTTCCTCTGATTTACCCTGACGTGTATGTGGTAATGATGTGCACTGCCAAGAAATGTGGGATTAGATTTCAGCCTCCAGCTATTATCTTAATCTATGAGAATGAAATCAAGGGGAAAATTCGCCAGCGAATTATGCCAGTTCGAAACTTTTCAAAGTTTTCAGGTACCTCATGTCTTATCTTGCCTTCTGTCTTAAATATTCTCTAAATACAGGTTCGGGACTGGATGTGTGACACTGGATTAATTACTTACTGTCAATGAGCTTCAGTTTCCTAATCTATAAAAGGGAATTGGGGTTTTTTTCCCCCAGTTTGAGAATTAATAATCCTTTTGGGATTACTAGCTAGGTTAAATGATACAGCATTATTCAATAATATCAATTCCCTTCTCTCCTTCCAAATGTTTTTTATTTGTAGTCTTAATATTTTATTAATACCACTACTGCTATCTAAAACCTATAATATCACTTTTCTTCTCAGACATATTCTCCAGTTGAAAGTGTTTAATACCTCTACAAAGTGATTTGTAAGTTAAAGAAGTCAAAAATATCTCTCTCCTCCTCCCACCACACTGAAAGCTCAATATAAAGGAAGAGTTCTACAAAATTCATTCCAATAAAACCATTTAGCTGCTTGACTATAATGGAGATAACACTTTCAGGGTTCAGAGTTTTTGGTTCTATTTTGGCTCTTGCAGTAGTTTGTGGTGTATATAATGTATGCAGTATGTATGTGGTATATAGTTTTCTTCTCTTTCCCAGATTGCACCAGGGCTGCTGAACAATTAAAGAATAATCCACGACACAAGAGTTACCTGGAACAAGTATCCCTGAGGCAGCTAGAGAAGCTATTCAGTTTTTTACGAGGTTACTTGTCGGGGCAGAGCTTGGCAGAAACAATGGAACAGATTCGTCGGGAAACAACCATTGATCCTGAGGAGGATCTGAACAAACTAGATGACAAGGAGCTTGCCAAAAGGAAGAGCATCATGGATGAACTGTTTGAAAAAAATCAGAAGAAGAAGGATGATCCAAATTTTGTTTATGACATTGAGGTTGAATTCCCACAGGACGAACAACTGCAGTCCTGTGGCTGGGACACAGAGTCAGCTGATGAGTTCTGATACCAAACACTCAAAAAATGTATTAGGCTAGCAGAATACCTATATTTATACCAGATTGGTTCTGGAAAAAGCTTTAAAGAATACTAAATTTATATGTTGGGTTATAGGGGATTGACCATGTTACTTTTCAAAACCAAGACATTTAAAGCATCTGCTATGTAGGTGCATGAGGAATATGGGAAAAACAGAATAAAGGAATCTGTCTTTAAGGAGCTTGCAATCATGCTGGGCACAGTGGCTCACGCCTTAATCCCAGCACTTTGGGAGGCTGAGGCAGGCAGATCACCTGAGGTCAGGAGTTTGAGACCAGCCTGGCCAGCGTGGTGAAACCCTGTCTCTACTAAAGATACAAAAATTAGCCTGGCATGGTGGTGGGCACCTGTAATCCCACCTACAGAAGAGACTGAAGCAGGAGAATCACTTGAACCCTGGAGGCGGAGGTTGCAGTGAGCCAAGATCACACCATTGCACTCTAGCCTGGGCAACAAGAGCAAAATTCCATCTCAAAAAAAAAAAAGCTTACAGTCAGTCTAACTGGAAGATGTAAAAAATGTGAAAAGCTAACTGGCAGTATTAAACAACAAAAAGATTAGAGCCAAATGCACGATAAAGGCTAAAGAAGTTCAGAGCCTATATTACTGTAGAGTAGAACAGTAAGAGAAGACTTTGTCCTTTAGTAAAGAGATAGGAGTTGGCCTGGCCCTTGAAATAGTAGTATTTAGGTAGCCGCTTGTGTAGGATTCCAGATAAGAGCAACTGAAAAGAAGGAAAGGAGAGGTAGTAAAGGTATAAGAAGCAGAATTTTTTTTTGAGGAATAAGCAAATTATAGTTTGACAAGATTGGGGGCCCTATACGGTTACCAGGGAATTATCTTGTATGTGTTATGTCTTTGTATGTATTTAACTCTGGAAAAGAGTACCCCTGCAAAATGCCCTGCAGCTGCAAGTAGATATCACTTGATGGACAAAAGGGGAATTCTGCCCCTCTGGCATCAGGAAATATATACTAAAGACATTGTGAAATGCTGAACCTCTTCCCATAAATAAAGGTTTGTTTGTAAAATGGGAAATCCACCCATAATAAATGAACAATAGGCACTGCCAGTTTAGGCCTATTCGTGACTGGATCTGCAAGAGAGCATCTTCATTTAACAACATTATCTGTAATTTGATACATTTATTCTGATTAGAATATTGTTTAATTGGTAGAAATTCTATGTTTTCTACAAGGAAACTGATGCTTATTAAATTATAGTGAAAATAATCACTCACTGTTTATACCTGTTCACTTCCACTCTCCTTACCATTAAGCACTTCATTATAAGGGAGTTCATTCTTGTAGTGGTATCACCAGAGTTTTGAGATAGTACAGTTGCCAAAGATAGCCAAATAATTTTCTCAATTAGAGATCTTTTCATGTCTACATAGTATTTCTTTATTCTATTGTATAGGTAGCTTATTTTTTATTTGAGACAGGGTCTCACTCTGTCACCCAGGCTGGAGTGCAGTGGCATGATCACGGCTAACCCCAGCCTCAACCTCCTGGGCTCAAGTGATCCTCCCACTTCAGCCTCCTAAGTAGCTGGGATTACAGGTGCGCGCCACCACACCTGGCTAATTTTTGTATTTGTAGAGACGGGGTTTCAGCATGTCGCCTGGGCTGGTCTCAAACTCCTGGGCTCAAGCAATTTGCCCGCCTCAGCCTCCCAAAGTGCTAGGATTACAGACATAAGCCACCATGCCTGGCTATAGGTAACTTATTTTAAAATTTGTCCGGGCAGTCTTGGTGACTCACACCTGTAATCCTAGCACTTTGGGTGGCTGAGGTGGGCAGATCATGAGGTCAGGAGATTGAGACCATCCTGGCTAACACGGTGAAACCCCATCTCTACTAAAAATATAAAAAGTTAGGTGGGCATGGTGGTATGCACCTGTAGTCCCAACTACTCGGGAGGCTGAGGCAGGAGAATCGCTTGAAACTGGGGGGCAAGGTTGCAATGAGCCAAGATCGCACTATTGCACTCTAGCCTGGGCGACAGAGTGAGACTCTGTCCCAAAAAAGAAAAAAATGTCCTTAGGTTGTTTTCTTCTTTCATTACTACAAACAGTGCTACAACAAATAACCTTTCCATTCTCTGTTTCACATATGTGCAAGGATATCTGTTAGATAAATGCCTAAAGGAGGCTTACTAAGTATGTGCATTCTAAGTTTTAGTAGATATTAAGTTGTCCTCAATAGACGTTCATTCATTCATTATTTGTACTTAATGAGCACCTACTACATTCTAAGCCTGTAATGTTCTGGAGTTTGGGGTTACAGCAGTATATACAACAAAGTCCTAGGTTTACAATTGGAAAGCAGAGACAGTAAACATAAATGCATAGAATAGTGTCGTCAGATGATAAGTGCTCAAAAGAAAAAAATGGGGTGAAAAGGAGAATGATAGAGGGGATGGGAGCCGCTGTTTTAGATCGGGTGATCAGAGAAGGCTTCACTGACATTTGAGCAAAGGCCTGAGGAGGTAAGGAAAAATTGGTATGCATTTCAGGGTTAGCGGGGAAAGGCAAGTGCACAGCCTTACGGCTGGAGTGCGCCTTGCATGTTTGAAGAGGAGGAGGAGGCCAACGTGGCTAATACAAATTGCGCAAGAGAAGAAATGGTAGATAAGGTTGGAGTGTATTTTACCAATGCATAGTACTTATCATGAAGGTTGTACCAACTTAAACTGTCAGTAATACATTCGATACCCATCCCCAAATACTCATCAATGGAGAATGTTAATCAAACTTTTTGAGTTTTGCCAATTTTTCAATATAAAAGTGGTATCTTATAGTTTTGATTTGCATTTCCCTTATTTTGAGGTGGATGCATATCATACATTTAAGAGCCTTTTTTTTTTTTTTTTTTAAGATGGAGTTTCACCCTGTAGCCCAGGCTGGAGAACAGTGGTGTGATCTCGGCTCACTGCAACTTCTGCCTCCTGGGTTCAAGCGATTCTCCTGCCTCAGCCTCCCAAGTAGCTGGGACTATAGGCAAGCACCACCATGCCCAGCTAATTTTTGTATCTTTATTAGAGATGAGTTTTCACCATGTTGGCCAGGATGGTCTTGACCTCGTGATCCACCCACCTCGGACTCCCAAAGTGCTAGGATTATTGGCATAAGCCACCATACCTGGCCAAGAGCCATTTTTAATGAAATAAGTCCTTTGTTAATTTTTCTGTTGGGTTGCTGGTCTTTTTCTTACAGATGTATATAAGTTTACTAAGGAAATTAGTCCTTAGTCTATAATATAAGTTGCAAATATTTCCACCTTGTCATTTTTAAAAATTGAATATTTTTTTCAGGTAGATTTTTTAATGTGGCAAAATTGATGAATATTTTTCTCTACACTTCTGCACCTTTTGTCATATATAGAAAGCCATTCCTTACAAGATTTTTCTTTTTTTTCTTTTTTCTTTTTTGAGGTGGAGTCTCACCCTGTCACTGAGACTGGAGTGTAGCGATGTGATCTTGGGTCACTGCAACCTCTGCCTCCCAGGTTCAAGCGATTCTCCTTCCTCAGTCTCTTCAGTAGCTGGGACTACAGGCGCCCATCACCATGCCTGGCTAATTTTTACATTTTTAGTAGAGACAGGGTTTTGCCATGTTGGCCAGGCTAGTCTCAAACTCCTGACTTCAGGTGATCCACCTGCCTTGGCCTCTCAAAAGAGCCAATATTATTTTTTAAGTGTCTCTTTTTCTATATACAAATTTATTTTGGAATACGATGTGAGATGTGAATCCAACTTTTTTGTCCAGATGCCCATTCAATTGTCCCAACACCACTATCTATTGAATAACTTATCTTTTCCCCATTTGATTTGAAATGTCATTTTTATCATATACTAAATTCCCATATGTATCAAAGTAGTTATCTTTTGATGATGTTAATATCATCTGTAGCAGACTTCCCAATTCATGTTTTTTTCTTTTCTTTTTTTAAGAGACCAAGTCTCACTTTGTCGCCCAGGCTGGAGTACAGTGGCATGATTGTGGCTCATTGCAACCTCTCTCTCTCTGGTTCATGCAATTCTCCTGCCTCAGCTTCCCAAGTAGCTGAGATTACAGGCACATGCCCCAACTCCCGGCTAATTTTGTGTATTTTTTGTAGAGACAGGGTTTCACCATGTTGGCCAGGCTGGTCTCAAACTCCTGACCTCAGGTGATCTGCCTGGCTTGGCCTCCCAAAGTGCTAGAAATACAGGTATGAACCACTACTCATGGCCTACTAAAAATACAAAAATTAGCTGGGTGTGGTGGTGCACACCTGTAATCGCAGCTACTCGGAAGGATGAAGCAGGAGAATTGCTTGAAGTCAGGAGGTGGAGGTTGCAGTGAGCTGAGATCACACCATTGCACTCCAGCCTGGGCAACAGAGGGAGACTCCATCTCA